CTAAAAGCTACTGTTAAATCAGGGGAGGAAAGGAAAGAAGAGACTCGATAGGACTTCGCCGCCCTATGCCTACGTATTCTCTCGTACAATGGAAAAGTCTGAGTCAACGTAGTCCGAGAAACTATGGGTGATGGGGGAAAGGTTGCTCGCCAAGACATCGTCATCTTGTGCTTACGTATCCTCATCTGGTATGAGAAATCAGAGCAAACGTAGTTTGGGCTACGAAACCACATGTTGGTTAAGTGTTTTTTATAAATGGCGCTAAGTTTCCATTCCAGCAGTTAGGGACGATGCCTGTTTACGGTAAAACAGAAAAGTATCGTACTCCTTCTGAAAATAGAGTTTGAAGAACAATCCCGAAGGAAAAAAAGGTTTGAATTTGGTTTGTTAGTTTTAAAGAAGTGGATTGAGTTAATTGGAGACCCACGTTGCACTAAAACTATGACATAAGAGTGAATGCGTCGCATATCACCCAAAGAACATACACTAAACACTCTAGACAAGTGAGGAAAAACCCCCCACTCATCATTTCCCATGTACTTAAGGCTCGTAACGTACAATGTTTGTCATTCTTTATTAAGTGTCTTAGAGAAGTTTGAGATGAAAAGAGAAGACACAAGAAAATACTAAAGGGAAACTAGAAACCCTAATGTTATCATACAAAATGGTCCTAAGGTTGAGATAATAGGGAAATCTACCTAGTGTTATCATGCAAAAGATGGACCTAGAGTTGAGGTGAAAGGGACTATCCTACTCATTATCATGCAAAGGATTACAAGCTAGTGTCTCTCCTACTCCCATCTTAAACAGAGGGACTAGGAATCCTAAGGGATCGTGTGAGCAAGCACAAGTAAACAATATCCAATTCAATCATAAATGAAAACAAGGATAAAAGAAGTCTCAAAGAGAGAGAGGAAGAAAGATGAAGAAGAAAGACAACAAAACCAAAGCCACAAATACAAAAATTCAAACCCAAACAAGATGGACAAAACACCCCAAGTCAACATATCATTGGTGCATCTCAAATCCAATCCACATCCAAGATGTGCAGACAAACACCAAAGTAAGGCAAATCAATCAATGCTCAATCAAATGAATCAAAAGCCTCACAAAGAGGAAAAACCAAGCAAGAAACAAGGCAATAAGAAACCAGATGACCTAAGAGGCAAGGTAGGGCCGCAAGATAACAAGGTCAAAAGGTAAACATCCAATCATGAGTGCATAAGAAGGATCACTTAAGTTTGACATTCAAAGTCAAACTTCAAAGTGAATCAACCATCATCGACAACTACAAATGAGGGATCACCAAGGAAAATATCAAAGATCCTAATGGAATTAGGAGAAGTCAAGAGAATCACCTCATAATGGACCAAGATCATTGATTCACAAAAGAAAAATGATTAAATCCAAAATAAAACAAATAACAAAAAGAAAGAAAAAACCCTAAAAAAGGAAAAGAGGATAACAAGGCATGAGTGAAGACTCAAGGGCATCACCATAGGTCTAGGACCATCATAGGATCACATGAAAATTTCCCCAAAATTTTTAAATGCTCAAAGATAATTTTAGACTAATTAAAATTAAGCAAATAAATCAAAAATACATAAAAATACCCAAAACAAAAAACAAAAATCCAATAAAATCACCATAGGATCATGTGAATTTTTTTTCATAATTTTAAATGGCTCAAAAGCATTTTAAAAGTAGTTAAAATCAAGCAAAACAAATAAAAATCATAAAAAATACAAAAATGAAAAATAAAAATGCACAAAAATATAAATCAGAAAGAGAAAAATAAAAGAGAATTTTAGAAAATATTTTGATATTTTTTTGATAAAAAATGAAATTATTATAAATTTCTGAAAATAAAAGGAATTAAAAACAATTTAGAAAAAAGAAAATAAAATTGGAAAAACACAACGCATTGGATCTAACCCCATTAAATGGCGTGGCTAATCTAAGGATCAAGAAGCACGCATCCACGATATACTCAAGTCAGCTCAACCACAAGGAGATAACAAAAGTCAAACACATAGGATTAAAACATCTGGCATGCTTGGACGGTTAGATGATCCCAGCTCATCATCTTCAACCTCCAACCATCTGAAACTCAAAGGAAATTGCAGAAAAACGTGGATCCAAGGAACCAAAACCATTGAAGCTCATAGTGATTTCATCTGATGCGTCTTTTCAAGACGATCTCAACCATATCATCGCTCTAAATTTCTTTAAATCACAGCTTACTCGATTTGAAAAAAACTAGAACAAGATTCAAACACGAATTTGAAAAATCAGCAACAAAACTCAACTACAACTAAAAATCGAATTTTAAAATATTATTTTAAAAGGAATGGTAAATGAAAAGCTCTGCTTATATTATTAATTAGTAGCATTATAAAAAAGATTTAGTTCATCAAAAGTACTAATAATTTAAGAGGAATATTAATTTTATATTATTAATTAGTAGCATTATAAAAAAATTTAGTTCATCAAAAGTACTAATGATTTAAGAGGAATATTAACTAGATTATTTGTAATGTGATTAAAATAAAGGTTGTAGGGATATCAATTTTCTATGTTAAATTTTGAGCATTCTTAAAGGCCAAACCAATTTTTCCTCTTCTTTCTCCTTCTCCCTCCAAAACAACCATAATTTCTTCCTCCATCTTCTTTATCTTTATGGCTCCATTACGTTGTTAATGGTTCCCAATCTACCTCATAGCCTCTGCCACACTAGGCATCATAGCAATCACCTCAACAATCCACTCAAAATCCAAACCCACCCCTCAAGAAATCCCCCCACAAACTTACACTCTCTCCACAAACACAACATAAGCTCTCAAAACCGCAAGTTTCACTTTCATGCCTGATCTTCTTCACCGTTCACCACCCTTCTTTCTTCCACCATAAAACCCACTTTCTTTGCCATCAAAGACTCCGCTATCACCAACACTACACTCCCTCGTTGGTTCCTCAAAAGTATCCTTGTTTATCACACCTTTTTTCGCATAAATAAACTTGTGCTTCAGCCTCCCCTAGCGAGCAGACAAGTCAATGTTTAGCAGTTAGAATGCGACCTAAGCACTCATTCGTTAAAGAATACAAACCTCTTCCCGTAGTTCCGAACGACGATAGCTCTAACTTCCTCATTGCTCTATGAGGGTACGTAGGCATAGGATTGCAAGATCCTAGTGATCTACCTTTTTTTCTTTTCACCCTAAACAACCGTAGTTCCACGAACTACGGACGCTCTGACTTTCGCATTGCACGAGGGAATAAGTAGACACAAAGGTCCCAATCCTTGGCGAGCTCCCTAATAAAAAACCACCAATTTTCCCCTCACAAATCCTTTTACCTTAGAACATAACAAATGACCTAGCTAACTTTTCTCACGAATCAAATCAAGAGGTTCCTATTGAGTACAATGAACGTAAAGGGTTCTAATACCTTCCCTCTTGCGTGATCGACTCCCGAACCTAGAATTTGGTTGCAGTGACCATTTTCTTATCTTTCAAAGGTTTTATCGATATTTTTCTATTCCTTCCTTGGAATGAATAAAGTTCGGTGGTGACTCCGTTCGAATATTTTTCCCGCATCCATCGCGAGGGTTGTATTGAATCTTGGAAGCTCCTTACAATGAATGGTGTGTTCCGCAAATGTATTCATACATGCCTTGTGGAAAACAAGGTAAACCTCATCAATAATAAATAAGAGAATCATAAGCCGTTGTTTAAGGATGGTACGATACTCTACTAATGACATATGTTGGCCTCTACCATCAATAAGGATAGCAAGGAAAAAGTTTTGAGCATGTGCTGCTTGTAAACAACCAAAAATGGCTTTATGTCTTATTGTCATGTCAAACTTTATATCCATGTTCTGAACACTTTTTTTTAAAAGGGCATCACCAAATATTTTTTGCTTTAGGAAGAACATTGTCCTTTTTAGTAAAACCATTAAGGTCAAAATTTAGAATCAATTCACTAAGACCACCCAAAGCTCTGCCGAAATTAATGTTCGTACCATATATCCCATTGTCTCTCAATATATGATCATATAACACTCTAGATTGAGCCCTAGTGGCCACAGACATGTATGAGGCAACCTCTACTGCCGAGTACAAACTCAACCCCCAACTCTAATAGGTAAAGAAGCCATCCGAATAATGGACCTCCGCCAACAACGATGTCTTGGATTGTCCTTCACAACTCTTTATTAAACCAGAGACATTATTTCTCCATATGATTAGATTGACATATTCTAATGCCAAAAAAGAGTTTGGTGGTACCCATGCAAGAACGAAGTAGACGAAGCTCACTCTAAGAATCCCTTAATTATGGGAGAAGAAACATTAACTCAAAAATCCTTGCAGCTCTCTTCATGGACAACTCCTTGATAAAGCTTTCATCTCGACTAACAGCCCCTCTAAACAACTTTGTCCTCAACATTTGCCTCCCATTATCTGAAGGAAAAAAATTCACGCAAAGTTTACTTTCCCACACGAAAGAAAAAAGATCTCATGAATTTTATGATTATTCAGTTCAAATTCTAATTTTAACCAATCTTCCAAATGATATCAAAGGTTTTAGCCCTCAATAATCAATAGACTCTTACTTTTTTAAAACATATGTAAACTATATATATTTGCCAAAAATTTATAGTTTTTGTTGTAATTTCAAGTTTACCATATGACTATATTATGGAATTTTATTTACTTACAAGATAAAAATAAATTTTACATGTTTAATAATCGAATTTTCCTTTAAAAAATGTTTAATAATCGAATTTTAAAAAATTATTTACAAAGGAATGGTAAATGAAAAGGTGTGCCACTAATTTTATATTATTAATTAGTAGCATTATAAAAAAGATTTAGTTCATCAAAAGTTTTATTAGTAATGATTTAAGAGGCATTCTTAAAGGCCAAACCATTTTTTCCTCTTCTTTCTCCTTCTCCCTCCAAAACAACCATTCTTTCTTCCTCCACCATCTTCATCTTCATGGCTCCATCACGTTGTTGCTGGTTCCCAATCTACCTCATAGCCTCTGTCACACTAGGCATCATAGCAATCACCTCAGCAATTCACTCAAACTCCAAACCTACCCCTCAAGAAATCCCCCCACAAACTCACACTCTCTCAACAAACGCAACCCAAGCTCTCAAAACCGCAGGTTTCACTTTCATGGCTGATCTTCTTCACCGTTCACCACCCTTCTTTCTTCCACCACAAAACTCCACTTTCTTTGCCATCAAAGACTCCGCTATCACCAACACTTCACTCCCTCTTTGGTTCCTCAAAAGTCTCCTTCTTTATCACACCTTCACTACCAAACTCACCATGCAAGAGCTTCTGAACCAATCACAAGGAACTTGTATCACAACCCTTTTCCGCCAAAAGAATGCTTCCCTAACAAAAATCGAAACTTTGCAGGAAACTGTAGAGATTAACCGTGTTTCGATATCAAACCCTAATTTGTTTCTTGGCGAACAATTCATCATTCATGGTGTTGTTGGACCTTTTTCTTCCATTCAACGTGAAGATTTACAAGGTGGTTCCGATTTCATTCATTCACCTACCTGTCCTTCATCATCATCATCATCATCATCACCATCACCATCATCATCTGATACAAACTCAACATATACTGGTGCCGAATTCAAGAAAACCGTCGAATGGAATCGAGTTATTCACTTTCTTGGTTCAAAAGGTTATTCATCATTTTCAATCGCATTGCATTCAGTTCTTGAAGGGCTTCTGAAAGAGTCAGTGAATTTCGGTTTTGCTTCCGTTACAATCTTTGCTCCACCAGATGTGAATTTACTGAGTTACCCTTCAGCATTGCTTTATAGAGCAGTGAAGATTCACATTCTGCCTCAGAAATTAACTTACAAAGAACTCAGCCTTTTTCCTGTTAGGACTTTGTTGAAGACTCTTATGCCTGATGATCATCTTGAAATTGATGGAGTTCTTGGTTTTATGGCAGGTGTTGTTATTAATGGGATTGAGATTGTGAAACCTGATATGTTTGTTTCTGAGAAATTTGTGGTTCATGGAATTTCTAGAGCTTTTAAGTTGGCTGAGAGTAATGCTTGAAGAAGTTGGAAATTTGTGTAGTTCATGCATTTTGATGCAATCATATAAACTTGTGTCATTGTTACTTTCATGTAAGTTTGTATCATTGTTACTTTGATTCTTATAGGTGTGCTTAGTTTTTCACTTTTTATAGTTTATGATCTTTATTTGGTGTTATTTGATTTTGAAATTTTATGATCTGTAGTTACATGTGTTTGAGAAGTGGATTTTCTGTAGCATTGCTTAATTCAGTATGGCTTGTTATCTTCTTTTTGCCAAAACTAGATAGTCTCATAATTCACCCCTAGAAACCGCAAATTGGTTCCGGCTTACTAGTTTGGGGTACTTTTGCAAATTGGTTATTTCATATAAATTCTTTCCATAATTTGCAGGTTCCATTAAGAATTGCAAAAATTCATAAAATATTCAAGTGAAAAGTCATTATCACATTGGTAAAAGTGAAACAATAGTGACCATAGATTATCTATCAACTCTTTCTTAATCATTTCGTTGTACATCAAATTTCTGAAAATAGGGTGAATAACTCAAATCAATTGAGAAAAAGATAATTTATACTTTCAGTTTGATCTTAGTTAATAAAGGTTACTTTAGATTTTAATATAAACTATCCGTGTCTATATAAGAGACACATTTTTGGGTGAAATTAATATGAAAATAGAAAGTTAAAAAAAAAAAAAAAAAGTAAATTTAAGTTTGAATATAATTATATAGGAGATGAAATATAAACAACAATATTATGAATAAAATAATTAGAAATAAAAATTATTAAAACTTGTATAAGACAAAGAGAAAAAAGAAAATATACTGTGTAAAATATTTTATACTGTCAATCAATCACAACCTTGTATCAAAATAAAACATAATTTTTATTTTAAAAATACTGATATTACATGGCAATGATAGACATTTTGATTGATTGCATGTGTAAAACTGTCTTACACTGATATTTCACTACCTTTACACCCATAGACGAATAAGGTGTTTTATTTTTTTTCTCCACAAATAAGTCAATCATTTTATAAGAAAGAATACAAATTTAAAATATCTACTGAATCTTATTAATAAGCTCTATTAATCTTTTTTCATATATTTGAAAAAAAATATCGATAAATTTCTATGATTCAATATTTAGATTAGTAGTAAATGTGCTCTCATTTGTAACAATAGTATTTTTTCATATAAAAATATTTTAATCAACAATGTTTTTTTTCGTGTTTAAATATTATTTATATTTTGAAATTTTTTTTTAAAAATATTTGAAACAATAGTAAAATTGTTCATGTATTTAAAAATATTTGAATCAATAATATATTTTTTCTCGGATATAAACATTAATTTTGTTTTGAGAATATTTATGAAAGTCAATAGTAAAATTGTTTCCGTTTAAAACAATAACAATGTGTATAAAAATATTTGGATCAACCAATAAATGGTAGAATATACTTCATTAATTTATAAATGTCACATTTTTTTTATATTTAAATCATAAATACAAATTTTTTCATTAAAATAAAAATATTTGATCAACCATAAATATTTTTTCCCGTATATAAACTTTATTTATTATCAACAATATTTTTTTTACCTGTATATAAATACAATTTTATTTGTCGAATCATTTATAAAAAAGTCTTAGGTAGCACATCTTGTTCTCAAGATAATATTAATTCTAAGCTAAACAACTTCCAGTTTACAACTTATCACTTAATCACTATCCGTACTTAATTTCTATCTAAGACTCTCCTAGGTATGAGACTTTTCTCAATTCCCTTTCAATCATAACAGTGACAGAAATTACAACTCAATACAAATAGTCCAGCTCTAGTATCAACACGATACAAGAGAGGCCCACAAATACATAAATCCTAAAACTCACTAAGCAACAATGTATTTTCCACACTTTGATTAGGTTAAATCCATCCTACTTATAACAAAAAACTAGACTGGATTTGAACTTCAAAAACGCTGCAACTTATTCTCCTTAAGAATAGTTTCTTCAATCCAAAGTTTCCTAAAATCTTTCCACACTTAGAAAATGGCATCTTCAAATTTAAACAGAATCCCTGATTCCTCAATCTTGAACGCCACATAGAATAAACAAATATTCCCACAATATTCTGAAATCTAGAAATAAATTAGCAGTATCAAAACTGCAAAGTAACAGACAAAGATGTTGAATCATCATGATATCACATCTTATCCAACATCTTGTTCTTCAGTTTGTTCTTCATGTTAGGACATCTTGTCCAACATCTTGACATCAAGTTAGTTTTATCAAAGTTAATGTCAATCTCAAAAGTTTGGACTTATCAATCTCCCTTTTTTGAAAGATTTTGGCTAAAACTAACTAAATAACCTTTGCATACAAATACACAAAACATAAGAGGAAACAATCAGAATAGCAGCGGAAATAATATAGCCTCCCTCTTAATCAGATCCTTCTTTTGTAGCAAGTGGTTAGCACTCTCCCCCTCAACAATAGCCAGTGGTTAGCAGTGATTAATTAAGTTAGTACTACTCCACCTTTCTAGCCATAATATGACAAGCAAAATAAGAGTTTAAAGTACAGATCGAGCACATGAAGTGCCAAAAGTACCCTGGGCATTTATCCCCTACAAAACATAACCACAAAAAACTGAATACTACTAACAGACATCGTCTTCAGTAGCCTCATCATCCCATTCCTCTTCTTCTTCTCCATCAAGATCATCATCATCTGATCCAACATCTTCAACATCAACCTCATTATCTTCTGCTGCATCCTTTTCAACATTATTGAACAAGATGTTTTAATATGAAGAAATCTATAAAGAGCAACATGTCGGACAAGATGTCCTATCTTGAGGACTCGACATCTTGGTCTGATACAGCAGGTTTGTTGCAAAAGGGTAGTAGACAGAAAGTTAAAGGAGAAACGGTTTATGTCCATGCCTTGGTGCGTGTAGAAGAAATCCCAAGGTACTTAAGGATGATTGATGTCTCTAAAACATCAGATAGATTGTTTATACATTCTATTTATGGTAGAAGCTTCATGAGATGCATACGAGTTTATTTCCCTCAGTGGGTTTTTAATTCGTGTGAAGATTAAGCCAATACAAGTGTGTATCATATTAAGATCTTCATGTGTACCTTAACAAGGTGTAAGAATTATTATGAAAATGGTAAGTCCTGTAATTGGTGTTTCATGAATCAAAGTACATGGCTTCTCTGATTGAGACAGATGTCCTAAATGATGTTGGAACATCATTCCTGCTATTGGTTATTTTTGGAGGATGACTGAGTTTTATTTTCATCTTTAGAGCTATATCTATTTCACTATGCCAAAAAAGACCTTTAGCAGCGTTTTTTTTGGCCTTTAGCAGCGCTTTAAAGCGCTGCCAAAAGTGGCGCTGCTAAAGGTAAAGGCAGCGCTTTTTTTCAATGAAAAAGCGCTGCTAAAAGCTCCCTTCAGCAGCACCTTTAGCAGCGCTTTTGTAAGTGCTGCATAATTCCCCCAACCATCCCCCCTTTAGCAGCGCTTTAAAAAAGCGCCGTCTTAGACCCCCCCTTTAGCAGCGCTTTTGCAAAAGCGCTGCCATAGCCCACCCTTTAGCAGCGCTTTTTACAAGCGCTGCCTTAGACCCCCCCCCCTTCCAAACCAATAGCAGCGCTTTTGTAGCGTAATATTTGTGACCTTTAGCAGCGCTTTTATGTAAAAGCGCTGTCTAATGTCCTAGATTTTAAAATTTTTTTTTATAAAATATTCACTCTGTTTTGTATATTTTACCAACAACCTGCTTATATTACACAAACCTGCTTATAATTCAGGCCTTTATTTCAGCACTTTGGCCTTATAAGTAAAATTCAAACTTTGGCCTTAAATATACAATTCAAACTTTGGCCTTATATATACAATTCAAAACTTTGGATACATTGTAACTCATGACTTTGTTCATAAACATTTTAATATACACATAAACCTGTTTAAATATGTTACAACAAAATTCGATCCTCAGAATTACAACAACACAAATACATTCAATTCACATATAATTACAAGTCTTCCAATCCGATAACTCTATACAATTCTCAACCCAAGAATAAATTGACACCATTCCTCTTTAATTTCTTCCAATTTTGCTTTCGTGTAAGTAGCGCACTTGAATTCATCATAATACTACATAATATAACAGATCGAATAAGATTTAAGTTTAAAACTAATTACTCAGATGGAGTATCAGATGATTATCAAAATGAATCATATAACTTATATAATGAATTGATCCAAACCAGGACTGGAATCTCAAGTTGGCTAGAAAGAATAATTTCCCTCAGAAAGCGCAATACAAAATATCCACAGTCAATACCATTGCGCTGCCGAGGACACTGTAAATGGAAAAAAACAAACGAACATTTATCCGGATATATAGTTTAAATAGTTTTATCAAGTAGAAACATGCGAGAATATACCTCTACTCTGATCCAGTTGATGTTGTTAGCCTTACTTTTTGGCATCGTTGCATCTCTTTGTGCTCTGAATATTTGTATAACTCTAACATAATATAAACGCATATTTAGAACAATGTCACATAATGAATAAAGATATATAATTAAAGACAACAGTATATGTCATCACTTACGTATCAACAAAGTTCCTCAGATTTTCATATTTTGTTGTATCGCCATCCAATGAATCTATATAATACACTATTTCTTTCGTCGGATTAATTGCGATCAACAACCAATGTCCACTATAAAATAAGACAACAGTTTAGACGGAAATGTTATATATATAGAAAGGGAAAAATCGAACAATTATAATAAATGAATTTAGAATAAAATCTAACCCATGGCCAGTGTTATATGGCAACAAGAACAACTTCTCCGTAGTCGCGCGCATAAATCTCTGCACTGTGTACTCTTTGACTGTATCTGGTGACTGGTCTATTATACGTGAGTTGACACAGCTAGCAGATAAGAATTCGAATACTGAAGTCAATTCATTCGGGACCAATAACTTG